GAAAATCTCTCCGAGGGCCTGGGAAGGCCTTCCGATCCTTCTGAGAAGGAGGCCCACCCCCTCCTCGCCCCCCCCCGCGGCTGGCCGCCGACCGATCGCACCCCGTGGCGCCAGCCCGAGCCGTGCGGGCAGAGAGAGAGAGAGAGACCCAGACCCCCGACGTCTTGTTTTTTTTCACAACGTCGACCCCCAAAGGTCTGGACCCCCTCCCGGGGACTGGTTTTTCATCCTGAGCCGTTCTTTGACAGTCCTGGGGCCCGGCGAGGGTTTCCTGGAGGCCGAGCATGGCGAGAAACCTCCCGTCGCGAAATTGTCACAACCCGAGAGAGTCTGGGGAGAGCGCGAGCGAGCGAGGCGAGGCGTGAGGTGGGAGGCGGGCGCGCGGAGTAGCGAGAAGAGGGCATGGGTCTCCCGCGCGCCCCAGGCCGTGGTGGCCATGCCCAGCGCGCCGATGGGCTCGCAGGCGCCAGGGGCTCGCAGATCGGAGGAGGAAAAGGTGCCTATACCGTCGCTGCCCTTCCCTCGTGTTCGCCTTTTTGGGGCCTCCTCGGAGACCCTCGTCGCCACCGCTGGATTGGCTTCGAAGTTCTGCTCAGAACGCACACGGGGGGCGTTCTGACCGGGGTGCGGCACCCCGGGAGAGGTCTGGGGAGCAGCGGCATCGGTGCTTCTGGGTTTCCCCAGCAGGGGGGGGAGGGGGGTTTAGCCCAAGGCGAGGTTCAGGAACGAACCCGATTGGATGCTCACGCCTCATTCCCTCCGTCGGAAGGAGGAAGGAGGAGCAGGAGGAGGAGGAGGAGGAGGAGGAGGAGGAGGAGGAGGAAGAGGAGGAGGAGGAGGAGGAGGAGGAAGAGGAGGAGGAGGGGGAGGGGGAGGAGGAGAGGAGGGGGGAGGAGGGGGAGGAGGAGGAGGAGAGGAGGAGGAGAGGAGGAGAAGGAGGAGGAGGAGGACCAGTGTAAACCCAAGAGCCTTCAACGATGTTGGAATACACCCTCCCTCTAAGCTCCCTCTTCACAGGCCCCTACAACGGTTCATTCCCATCGAGGGATCTGCCTCGTTGGAAGACAACCGTTTGAAGACCTGGAAGCATGCCAAAACATTGTTCTCGGAATTCCAACGCCGCGGATCAACCTGAATGTTGTGTCTTGACGATCCTGGATCGTGCCAGAACGCCATTCTTGTGATTCCAACACCCTCAATCAACGTAACTGTTGCACCCGCAAAATCTGGAATCCTTCCAAAACACAATGTTTGGTACGCTGATCGCGGGAACCCGTGAAACTCTTATGTGCGCTGCGCTAAGGCGAGAGCCACATGTTGAAAAGGAACCGCACTCAATCCGTGAAACTCTTGCAAATGTTGAGAACGAGTGTGCGCGGCGCTAAGGCGAGAGCCACATTTCGAAAACGGGTGATCCTCAATCCTTGAAGCTTCTGCACATGTTTAGAACGAATGTGCGCGGCGCCAAGGCGAGAGCCACATTTTGAAAACGGGTTATCCTCAATCCGTGAAACTCTTGCACATGTTTAGAACGAATGTGCACGGCGTTAAGGCGAGAGCCACATTTGGAAAACGGCCCGCCCTCGATTCGTGAACTGTTGCCAATTTCAAGCTTCAGAGTCATAAACGGTGAGGAAGTCTCAGGCGAAACGCCCGGCCCGCCCTAAAAACTAGCCTCGGGGTGCGACAAGGAGAAGTTGTTTATATGGAAAAGGAATGGTGGAGGAGGAGGAGGAGGAGGAGGAGGCCTACCCCAACCAATGCGTCCCCCCGAAGGTGTGGGCGGGCGGCCCCAAGGTGGTGCCGCCTCCGCCGAGGATGGGTGCGCCCACGCCGTCGGAGGCAGCATCCGCGGCGCCCGTCCCCTCCGCGGCGTGGGCGCCGCAGGCGCCGCTGCAGCAGGCGTGGCCGCTGGGGGCGCAGGCGGCGGCACCTCCTGCGGCCCAGGGGGAGGAGGGGCTCCTTCTCCTCCTCCGCCTCCTCCTCCTCCTCCTCTTCCTTCTTCTCTTCCTCCTCCTCTTCCCCCTCCTCCTCCTCTTCCTCCTCCTCCTCCTCCTCCTCCTCCTCCTCCTCCTCCTCCTCCTCCTCCTCCTCCTCCTCCTCCTCTCCATCCGTAGCCATTCTGGCTCAAGTAAACCATCGATCGAGGCAGCTGGCCAGGACAGCTTCCTTCGGCGCCTGCCCGTGGCAGCCCGACACCTGCCAGGCCACGGGCGGGTGCCCTTCGGCGTGTGCATACCCTCGATTACTGGTGCCGACCGTCGTTCAAGGGCGGCGGATACAGACGCGACCATCACTTCTTCTTCGGAGCCATGTCTGGAGCAGGGAGCCCCGAGCAGCTTCGCATGGATTCGGAGGGCTCCCCCAGTGGCAGTGGCCGTTCGTCGTCCAGGACTCGTTTACCCAAGTCCCACTCGAGGGCGCCCGAGCACCGTCGCAAGGTTCCTCCAGCGGAGCGTGGGCGGCTGGTTCGTCCTGGTGCTGCAACTGGCCTTGCTGGCCACGCTGGCCCTGCTGGCCGTCGGGGCAAGGGCGACAGGACCTCCAACGTCTCGCCCAGCGAGGAGCAGATGCGCCAGAGGGCAGCGGACGCGGCTTTCGAGATGCAGAGAGACGGGTTCGACCTTGATATGCTGGCTACGTTCCCTTCGCAGGACGCTCGTGGTGCAGGAGTCGGAGAGGTGCCTCAGGGAGCAGAGGCTGCCGCTGCCGCCAGGGACGTCGCGCACCCAGTTGCTGGCGTCGGAGGTGACCCGTGGAGGACCTACCTGGACAGCGGCGGGGCCCCCTTGGGCACTGCGACGCCGCTGGGGCCCAGCCGTGGCCATCCTACAGCTCACGCTGCTCCTCATGGTGGCCACAGGCATGGCGCGGTTCCTGGGACCCCCTCTGCTGCGATGGCGCCTGGTGGTGCTGGCGGCGCTGCGAGGCTGTCATGCCCAACACCGCGAGGTCCGCCCTCCTGCAGCAAGTGCAGGCCTCCATCACCTCCGCCGTCACGAGTGCGGTCGTCGCCAGCGTTGACGCCACCCTCACAGCTGGCCTGGCGCAGATTCAGGGCGTCATGGACTCGCGTGTCGGCGCTGCGGAAGGACGCCTTCGGGGAGTCGAGCAGAAGCAGCTGGACATCGAGCGCCAGCTGCGTGCGGACATCGCGCAGCTCCGCGAGCAGATGGGCATCGTGGCGCGCGCGGAGCCCTGTGCCGCTCCTGCTGGCCCTGACTGGGACCGTCCTCCAGACCTTGCCGCGGTGGTCGTGCGGTGCAAGGAGGAGCTCCCTGCCGAGACCTTCAAGCAGGCCATCGACCCTATCCTGGCGGACGCTGGAATGGGTCAGGACTCGTTCGTGGTGGAGGCGGAGCCCATCGGCAAGCGCTGCGTCTACCGCTTCAAGGGCTCCCCCGAGCTCGGGGCCAGACGGGCCGCCAAGGTGCTGGGCTGTACGCGCCTTGGCCGTGGTGAGTGGCGCAAGCCGCGTGCTACGACGCCTGCTGGTCACGAGGTGGACATCTTCGTGGCGGCCGACCAGAACCGCAAGCAGGTGCTGCACGAGCTCATGTTCAAAAAGCTTGCTGTCGCGCTGGGGCGCGTCATCGGCGACGGGCACCGCATTTTCGTCGACAAGCAGAAGTCCACCCTCACGTCCCAGTGGAAGGCCTTCCCCCGCCTCACCATCGACGGCCCAAACTCCACACCGGTGGCGGTTTGGTCCCCGTCGGCGCTGTCGGCACTTGGCTTGCGACGCGAGGATCTTTAGACGACGGTGGAGGCGGCTTTGGCTCCTGATGATGATGATTGGTATCTTTTGCACGTTTGTCAAGCTCTTCGCCACCCCGATGAGCAAGGGGTTCACCTTCGCCACCTGGAATGCCAGGGCATTCTGCTACTACAAGGCGGACGTGGCGGCGCGCAAGAGCGAATGCCTTGGGAAAGCGCTCCGAGCTGGGGCTATCGTGGGAATGCAGGAGGTCCACGGGTCGGCCGTGCGCCTGCGTATGCTGATAGATCGCTTGGGGACGGACTACCAGATGTTCTACTCCTTCGGTGACAATGCTGATGAGTCTCTTGGCAGCGTCGCCACCGTCTTCCCCTACAAGGTGCGCGCGGGCATGGACCTGCGCAAGACGTTTTGCATCAAGGCTCGGGTGATCCGCGTCACGGCCACGATCACGGACGAGCCCTACGCTGGCTACACGCTGAAGCACTGGAACATCCATGACCATGCCCTATCGCGCGAGCAGGTGCGGCGTGTCTCTGGCGCGATCCAGGCTTCTCTTCGTGACATGGAGATGAACCCGAGGAAGTGTTGTGTAGTGATCGTGGGCGACTTCAACTACGGCGAGAATGCGGAGGTGGAGGGCCCGCTGGTTCTTGGTGGAGGGCGCAGGGCTGCCACCCGCCCTCGAGCGCGTGCATGGACGCACGCGCTGAATGCTGCGACGGAGATGATCCCATAACAAGCCAGCGCATTGGCACCAAGGCAGGCAGATCGCCACCACGATCGACAAGATTTGGATTGGTTCACCACGGCGGTTGCTCACGCAGACCTACCAGCACGGGCAGGTGCATGGCGAGCCCCACGAGATGCACCTCGACGGCTTCTCGGACCACGCGATGTTCTCGGTGGCGTGGACTCCTCGCCCTCCCAGGAAGAGGCCTACCACGGGCGTCATCAACCCTGTGCCGTCCTTCGTCTCTGAGAACCCGAAGTTCGGCGAGATGATCAGGAAGTGCGAGCTCGCGATCCCCCTCTGGTGGTCTTTCTCCTCCTGATCGGGTGCACTACCACACGAAGATCCTGCAAACGGCAGCGGCTGCTACCAGAGACGCCATTCTTCGTGGGGAGCCTGGTCTGCGGTCGCCGACGGCTTTGATATGGAGACAACTTGGTCGGGCGGTATGGCGGCAAGACATGCGGATGGCTGAGACACTACTGCGCCAACATACATGGACGAGCCAGATGATCGAGCTTCGCGATCGCTCAGGACATGTTGGACGACAAGTGGTGCATCTACACCCTCAGGAGTTCTCTGGACATTATCGATTAGCGCAACACCAAGAGATGCAAGCCCTTCTCCGCCAGCGCCAGCAGGACATGGACGAGGAGCTGCGCGAGTCCAACAGGGCAGCGATGGTAGAGCAGCAGAGGGCTCTACGACGGCGCGCGGCCATCTGGGCACCGTCGTCGGCGCGACGATTCCTGAGAGGCATCGAGCCGGACGGTGGCACGGTCGCGCGGTCGGAGCAGGATGTCCAGAGGGCGCTAGCGAACTACTGGCGAGGCGTCCTCGGCGATGACGCGGTCAAGCGGAAGCAGCTCGCGGAGGACAGGATGCGCAACCTTGCCGCCAGAGCCCAGTGCCCTTTTGTGGTCGGCGCGGGCACTGAAAAGGGCACCAGCATGAGCGGCGCCCCCATGACCTTCCAGGACGGCGTCATGGTGCCCCTCCCCCGAGATGCTCCTCGTGCTGTTCAGCGTCGATGGGGGCTGCAGGATGGCTATCTCCGACGCTATGGCATCCAAGATGTCGACTGGGCCTCGACCGAGCCTCCCATGGCAAGCACCGTTGCCTTGGCTCTCCGCAGGGCCCGCAAGTCGGCACCTGGACCAGACGGCCTCGGCGCCAAGGCCTGGCTCGCCACGCCGCTGGGAGTCGAGACGCTGGCGGAAGCGATGGCGCGGCAGCTTGAGGGCCTGCCCATGCGCCAGGAATGGAACTACTCCATCGCCGTCTTCCCCGCCAAGGGGTCGCGGGCTGATGATCCTCAAGAAGTCCTCAGACGTGCCGGTGAGACTCGGCCGCCGGCGCTGGAGAACACCTCCAAGAAGGCCGCCATGTGGGCCCTCAACTCCTGCATGAAGCGGGTGGCGGAGCGGCACTGCGTGGACACGCAGCGCGGCTTCATCCGCGGGCGCAACTTCTGCGACAACATCGTCGAGCTCGGCTCGCACTCCCGCGTGCTGTCCATGGCTGCTGGACAGGACGACTCCCCCTTCCTCATCTCCTTCGACTGGGGCCAGGCCTTCCCGAGCATCGCGCAGGACTGGCTCTTCGGCTCACTGCGCGCCATGGCCGCGCCCCAGGGGCTCCAGGACGCGCTGAAAGTCAACTACGACGGGGTTGTCTCCCTAGCGGCCTCACGCACGAGGGCTGCGCTCTATGCGGTGCGATCGGGCATCCTCCAGGGCGACCCCGCCAGCGGCACGCTGTTCGTCCTTGCCGCCCATCCGTTCGAGCAGGACCTGAAGGACCACCTGGACTCCAAGCCTCGGGGTATCTCGAGGTGGTGCGCCGGCGACCTGGGCGCGGCGGTGATGGCCCACCGTGGCCTGATGACGCTGGCCCGCGTCTTCCGTGGCGCGAAGCTACTGGCGGGCCTGGTGATCAAGCCTGCGAAATGCTTCGCCATCCCGCTGGGAGACCCGCAGCGCTCTGACGCGCAGGAGCGGGCGAGGGACACCCTGGTGGCTGCTGGCCAGGACTGGAAGGCGTTCCCCATCGTGGACCACCTCGAATACGTGGGCGTGCTGCTGGGCCCTGGGGTGACGCAGGAGGCGCAGTGGCGGGCGCCGATGAGGAAGTACTCCGATCGCGTCGGGGAGATCTCGAGGAGCCGCTCGGACACGCATGCGGCCATCCTCCTTTACAAGGAGCGCTGCGTGCCCGTCCTGTCGTACAAGGCGCAGTTGCTGGAGGCCCCCGCCTCCTTGAAGAGACTCGAGCGGGGGAGGCTGGCGCGCCTGCTGCGCCTGCCAGGCAGCTTCCTGGGCGATGGGGAGTGGCACGAGCTTGCCACCATCGGCCTCCTCCTCCCCCTCCTCCTCCTCCTCCTCCTCCTCCTCCTCTCCGTAGCCATTTTGGCTCAAGTTGCCATCTCTCGAGGTGGCGCAGGGCCAGCGCGCACTCCAGGTCAGGCCCAGC